TTATCAAATATTTATATACATATACATTAATTAAAAATCTTCATTTAATTTATTCCTTCAGATTTTAAATATAATTAATGAGTATTTTCATATTTTTTCGCAGAAAAGGAAATAAGAAGTAAATAAATAAATATTAATTTGTCTTATDCTTAAATCTAATAATTTATTAATAATTTTCATAACTAGCTAAGCTGTACTGTGTAACTGCTGTTATTGTCTTAGCTATTTTTGTAGTTACGGTGCGTAACGAAAGCTTGGGACAAGTTTATGATTTTGCATATCATTTCGGCGCCATGAGGAACTGTGCGCAGTATATTAATGCTAGCTTCTGGCTTTAATGATTAGCGCGTAGCAAATCGTAAACAACGTTAACGCCCTCTTGACCTTTTCGACTGGCTGGTGTCATAATTAAACATCAAATTATTTAGATTGAGGAAGTGCGCTCATTGGAGCATTACTTTTCCCACGCACTGTCCAAGTGTCTTGTAGAGGTGTTGGCAGTTCTCATTTCGGCTGGTAAACAAAGCCCGCAACAGCTGTGAGCTGATGCCGCACAAGGCCAACCCTTAGAGAACAGAAGCGTGTGTCTTTTGTTTACAAACTGCAAGAGCCACCCTGCCAGCCGTCTCTTTTATCCGCTCTCGCGGAGATGAAGAGCGGCAGCGGCAAGGCGCATGCGCCTGCTCAGCTGCTGCGCGCATCCATTGAGATGCTGCTCCCATCGCATTGATTTTTATCCAGAGTCCAGAAAACGAGTTTCAGCTTAATCCGCACCCAAACTGCCGCAGTTCAAGTTGGAAAATTCGGCCAGGCCGCAGAAAACTTGGCGAAAAATTGTGGAAAAATAAGAAAACACCTTAGCAAAACTAAGGTAAAGTGAAATTTTACAATTGAATTGAAATCTGAGTGCTATGAAGTAATTCTTTGCCAGCTGCCAGTGTGGAAAAATTCCTATAGATATACATTTAACTATGCCAGGCCTGCATATTAAATAGGAAGACAACTCCCAGAAGCAAGGACAATGGATTTATTTGGCAGGACTTGGCTGCTATGCAGCATCATGTCTCTGCTATTGATTGCACGAGGTACGTGTGCGGGGTTGTGGTACTTGCCTTAATTGTGGGCGGGTTATATAACGAGAAGCAAGTGAACTCTTTATATTTATAACAATTTTTAAACTATATATATAAATATCCTTTTTTTTTGTAAGCCAGTTGAAAGCCCAGAAACTAGCAAAAATTTTACAGCAATGATTTGATTTTTTTCTTAAATTTAATAAAAAACGCGCAAGCAGCGACGCCTTGACAAATTCCGCAAGTCTTCTAATTAGCCAACAAAACAAGCAGCAACCGACCGACAGCCAGCAGCCAGCCACGGCCTCTGCCTCAGCCACAGCCTTAGCCACAGCAACCAACCTCAGCCTCAGCCTCAGCCTCAG